GGGAGTGACATTTTGGGTCTAGTGGTTCGGACCACTGAACCCTTGGCTTGATCTCCTTGAGTTGGTTCAAATTATGGGACGGAGTAAGTCTCTTTGGGTGCACCTTTTTGGGTTCATAGACACAGTTATTTTTGTTGGTTTATAACCACTTAACTTACACCCAAACATTGCCTGAATAGACACAACCCAAGATTAATGGGTCACACCTTTATTTATTTAATTTGAGTTGGGTTAGGTTTGGTTTCTTGAAGATATTGAATAATTATGCACTAGCCTAACACAAATGGACTACCCCACACATATTAGGCCCAACCTACTACAAAAAGAATTAATCTTTTTGAACCATGCCTAGGAACGGAGCCTGGGTCAAACAGTTTTGGCTTGGGTCAAGACCACATGAATATGGTCCATGCCCACAACTCCCTTATTGGTTTGTGATCTTCTTCTATTCCCACACTTCATATATGTTTTGGGTAAAGTGCATTTCTCTTTCTCAAAAAATTCCCTGAACTATTAAAAAAGACACCTAACCCTCTAAATTATTTCATTTAAGTCATGTTAGAAATTTAATAGAAATGAAATCATGTATGTCACATGAGGGAGGACAAATTTTTAAAAGGATAAAATTGGCCATTAAAGAGTTAAGAGATAAACTATGATATATATATATATATATATAGGGTAATTTACACAAACCTCCTCTATGATTTGTTATAATTACACAGGCCTCCCCTTTGGTTTGGAATTTACTCGGACCTTCCCTAATAATGAAATTATCCTACACAGACCACCCTTCTATTAGAATCAACGTCAGTCAAGGATGGAATGTGCTGACGTCATGTACAAATTTTACTTAAATCTCCATAATACCCTTGTCCCTACCAATTGATATATATATATATATATATATATATACACACACACACAGAGAACCGTTGTGAGAATATTTACAAATATTTCTGGGATTTTTAAATACCTGTTGTTGGTGTCGGTGGCCGTACCATTCCAATCCACAACCTCTGTTATTGATCTATTCCAATTGTAGTCGCTAGAAAACCTCCACTTATGATTTGTTTTTCTAGCCAATACTGAGGTGGAAGTGACATCGTTCCTGGCACAGTAACCGGTAATGTCGACGGCGGCAAATTTTCTGACATCTTCTGAACGTAAAAGTCTTTGTTGAACCTCCGGCCATTTGATCATCAAATTGTTTTTGATACGTCGCTTGCTCTTAAACTTTAATTTATAACCTTTGCAAATCCTAGATCTGCCTCTGCATCTCCAAACCAAACAGGAAGTCCATATGGTTCAGCAGTGTTGACGATTGTACCAGAACGGAATTCAGAGCATCCACAAACTGTTCCCTATCTGACTTCCCCTCATTCGATGATGATCCTAGGGATTTTGATGCTGCGATCCACTTCCAAGACTATATATATAAGGCAGCTGTGTATAACTATATGTATAAGGTAGCTGTGACGTCATGCTTAGTCAATAACATATGAGTACTTTAGTAATTTCAGATGGCAATGTGAGGGTATTTCAGTAAGTTTGTTAGTGTATTTGACAGTCCATCACACATAAGGGAGGTCTGTGTAGGATATTTTCATTGTTAAGAAAGGTTCGAGTAAATTTCCAAACTAGAGAAAAGGTCTGTGTAATTATGATAAACTATAAGGAGGTTTATGTAAATTACCCATTATATATATATATATATATATATATATATATTGTTTGGTCCTTATTTTCTCTCTCCCTCCCCTCTCCCTTTTTTCTTCGCCACTGGTCTGAATAAAACAACAACAACAACAAATCCATTACCAGCGACGAGTGATTGGGGGTGGAACATGGCTAATATGAACTTTGGAGAATGAGAACGAGTTTTGATTTGTTGTGGCAAAGGAGTATGGATACGGTGCAAGATGGGTGTTGACCAGAGAGTTCGTCGGCGACTATGTAGAGGGCGACGATGAGACGACTACATCGTCTAGCGAAGCAGAGAGGTCCGAAGAGGTCTGAAATTGCAAAGTGTCACCTAACAAACGTGGGATCCTTGGTGCTCAATTGCGTCGGCGGTTGATATTCACAGTCTCTGCTTGCATCTCCACTGATGATTACTCTGACAGTGGACGTGGTGGTGCAAATATCATCGGTCTAACGTATTTCTCACAAACATGGATGTCACCGTCAAATTGCAACGAACCGTTTAAGATTTTGTTGACCCAAAAGGAATGGCCTCTTCCTTCTTTCACCGGAGATGGTGGTTTTGTCGTGTCGACTGTGAAAAAATAATAATAATAAGAAAGGGGAGAGATAGAAGAGACCCGGTCAAGAAAAAAAAAAAAAAAAAAGATTGAACTTCAAACCTTAACTTAACGGCTAACAAGTAATTTACGTGTTCCGTTAACGACTGATTAACATTTTGTCCTTAAGTCCAACAAAATGATAATTTAGGAGGTTTTACTTACTTTCGGGAGTTTCTTGCAATCGGGTTATAGTTCAGGGGAATTTATTGCACTTTACCTTATATATTGTATTTTTTTAAATATATATATTTTTTCTCTTTTTATTGGGGTCATTATTACTTATATTTAAGGGTAAATTACATTAACATTTCTTGAAGTTTGGACAAATCTCACAAAAGTGAAACGTTTAAGATTTATTGCTTTGACCTCTCTTGAGGTTTGAGCGTATGCTCAACAACCCCCTCTCTATCGAAACTTGTAAAAAAAAAATTCATAAAACGACCAAGTTGCTTTTACACTCCATTTTTTTTTTTTTTTTTGTAAAATTTTTATTTACAAGATTTTTTTAGGAAAGGGTAACGGTGGTGGAGAGGAGAGAGAAAGTAATAAAAGAGATAGGATAGAATAATTAATTTTTTAAATTTTTATAATATATTTTGTATTAAATATAAGGATATAATTGACTTTTTTAATTAAAAAAAAAAATTAGAGTAATAAACCTCATGCACTCCATTAATGTGAGATTAGTCCAAACCTCAAAGAGAATAAGTGTAATTTACCCATATTTAAACAAACGAAGATATACAAGTGTTAAACAGGTCAGCTACTTACAGAAAAGAACACCGTTCCATTTTGGACCCCCCTAAAACTCTTAGCTGGATCTACTTTTGTTTTGGCCCAAACTTAGCTGTAACACTTGAATTTTACTGATTTTCAAAATTAGTTTCCAACATGTACTAACATATTATGTGACGAAATATTAGTATATGACAAGTAATGGAAGTGTGACAAAAAAACAAACACAGAGAGAGAGAGAGAGTTGATATACTCCCATTGTTTGGTAAAAGAGAATGGAAAAGAAGGATAGAGAATCAAACATTCCTTTGTATCCATCATTATTTAAGAATTTTTTTAATAAAAATTATTTGTTATTGTATGATAAAAAATAAAAAGGAATTTATGTGGTTAATATATTCATATTTTCTATATTAATTTGTAATTTATATAGCTTCTCTCTACTGTGTTGTTATTTTACATTTAAAATAACAGATAATTTTTATTAAAAAAATTCTTAAATAATGATGGATACAAAGGAATGTTTGATTCTCTCTCTCTCTCTCTCTCTATATATATATATATATTGTGACTATATCTCTTCTAATATTTAAAATTATATATATATTGTATGATAAAAAATAAAAAGGAATTCATGTGGTTAATATATTCATATTTTCTATATTAATTTGTAATTTATATAGCTTCTCTCTACTATGTTGTTATTTTACATTTAAAATAAAAAATAATTTTTATTAAAAAAATTCTTAAATAATGATGGATACAAAGGAATGTTTGATTCTCTCTCTCTCTCTCTCTCTATATATATATATATTGTGACTATATCTCTTCTAATATTTAAAATTATTTTAAATTTCTTTGTCTCATATAAATGCAAATAACATATGAAACCCACCAACATGGTTTATAGCCTTTTCGTCATAAAAAAAATAATAATAATAATACAAAAAAAAAAAACAAGGAAGAATGTTAGGCATGTGGGGAAATTGGTCCCCGGCCCTCATCTCATTGTGAGCACATCACAAAATAATAGTAATTCCTTAAAAATGAAAGAGCAAAAAAAATCCTGATTTGTGGGTCCGAGAAAAAGCATAAAGACATTTATCTTAGGTAAGTGGAAAGGAAAACAAAATAAAATTGGTAACATTAACCTCATTTTCTCTCATTGTCTCATTTTGAAAAGTCCCAGATGCCTCGATAGTCCAGTAATTAGTGTCTCCAATGAATTTTGAAAGTGTCATACTTCTACTCTTTACACCAACTAATCTAACCTTTAACTATTCTTACCTTGTTAAAAAAAAAAAAAAAATTTGAAAAGTCAACATAAAATAAATACTACCGCATAACATATCTAATTTAAAAAAAAAATTGTCAAATAAAAATAAAAGCTATTATCAATCATTGCCATATAAGTGTTACAAAATATTCCAAGTTACTACGTAGTAACATACATAGTACAGAGTACTTGGACTTAATTTTAATAAGTTGCATATCTCCTTAATTTTTTTTTAATATGGACAATTAATAATGGTAACTAACACACGGAAGAGAAGTGAGAACATGATCTAAATTACATATATAAATTTAAGACAACCATATTATAGAGAGAGACAGAGAGACAAGTGTGAGCGCGAAGTTGAAACATCAGATCACGACTCGACAGATCTTAATTACCAAAATCTCTCTTCGCATTTCATGAATTTATGTATAAATCTCACCTTCAACGCACAATCATTTATTACAAATATTGACCTATACACCCCCACTCATTAATACACTTGGACTACATTATATACAGACACCCATAAATAGGGGAATGAGACTACGAGTGTGATCAGAATTTTCTTCTTCGTCTCTCTGAGTCATTGCATCCCTGTTTTTTTAAAGAGAGAGAAAAGAAAAGAGTTTTAGAGAGAGAGAGAGAGTAGGAGTTGAGAAAGAAGAAGCATGGATCGAGAAATGGTGACCATTGAAATCCAAACTCAGACAACACACCACAGCCAGTACTCTACCATTTTTAAGAAAGCTAAGCGTCCTGTTACTTTGAAGGTATAATTCATGATGATTATATTCGATTTTAAACGCATGCATGATATTTATTAGTCTCTCAATGCAAATATATATTGTCATTGGAAGATCGAACATGCATGATTCTTAATTTGTTCTAATTCTAACCATAGATCTTATTTTAGATTTTATATATTAGTACAACTCTCTCATTAATAATACCACTTAAAGACTACGTAATATACAAACACCAATAAATAGGGAATGAGAGTGATCAGATTTTGTAAGAATGAAGAAGCATGGAATTAGAAATGGAGATCACTATAGAAGTCCAAACTCAGACGACACAACACCACCAGTACCCAGCCATTTTTAAGAAAGCTAATCGTCCTGTTACTTTGAAGGTGATTCATGATCATGATCTTCAATCTTCTACATATGCATGCATGTTCTTTATCAGTCTCGTTATGTAATACTCCATATATCAAATGTAATTTTTAAGGTTGTCGACCTTCAAGATTGTAATGTTGTTCACACCAACGTTTTTGAAAAATGGGGAGCCAAAAGACGTCTCTCATTCAATAGGTTCCCACGTCTTTCTGTCTCTATTTTGATCAAACTCTTCTGCATTTACTATTGTACAGTATATAATACTTATATATATAATATATACTATATATATATATATATATAAATATATATTTACACTTGCAATTCATGTATCAAAACTGCCAAGAATTAAACAGTATCCCATTAAGCATTTTTCCAAGAAACTGCCAAGAATTAGTACAGTTTTTTGTTTTCATAATAAAGTAACAAGAAACTCTTTGTTATACACAGAATTTGCGAAAACTTGGTGTTCATTTGATTCGTTAATTCAATATCATTTATTCTGACGGAATCAGATAAGTAAACACACGGTTCAGTTAAAATTTATAAAGTACAAATTTGTTAGAATCGATATGATTAACGACTTGGGTCATAAAAAAAACTGAATTTGATCAGTTAATTTTATAATATTTACAAATCTATTATCTATTGATTCGGACTAATGGTTAATTTGACGATGTTCACAGTTTGAGGATGTTGTTTACAAGATTAAAACCAAGGAAGGAGGAATCCTAAAGAAGAAGTCAAAATCCGAAGAGAAAACAATCTTGAAGGGAGTCACAGGAATGGTCCTGCCCGGTGAAGTGTTGGCCATGCTAGGCCCTTCTGGCAGTGGCAAAACAACTCTCCTCACTGCATTGGGAGGCCGACTTGGAGGCCAAATCAGTGGAAGCATTACTTACAATGGCAAGCCCTTTTCGAACCAAATGAAGCGAAACACCGGATTTGTGACTCAAGATGATGTCCTGTATCCTCATCTCACTGTGACTGAAACACTAGTATTCACTGCTCTTCTCAGGTTACCAAATACTCTCACTAAACAAGAAAAGGTAACACATGCAGAGTCCGTGATCACTCAGCTTGGATTGACTAGGTGCAAGAACAGCATTGTAGGGAGTCCATATTTAAGAGGGGTGTCAGGAGGAGAGAGAAAAAGGGTTAGTATAGGCCAAGAGATGCTCATAAATCCAAGTCTCTTGTTTCTGGATGAACCCACATCAGGCCTTGACTCAACAACCGCTCACCGGATTGTATCAATCCTGTGGGAGCTAGCTAATGGAGGAAGAACTGTTGTGATGACGATACACCAGCCATCAAGTAGTCTATTTTACATGTTTCACAAGGTGTTGCTGTTATCAGAAGGTTGTCCTTTGTATTTTGGGAAGGGAGAAGAGGCCATGGATTACTTTGCTCGAATCGGATATGCCCCATCAGTTCCCATGAATCCTTCTGATTTCTTGTTAGATCTCGCAAATGGTATGTGCACTCAGATAACAGATTAATTGTGATGGTATAAAATTTCACTAGACTAATAATTACAGAAATATTTTTGTAGGTGTTGTATCAAATGATTCCCATGAGGATCCAGCTGTGATCAAGCAGACTCTGGTTTCAGCTTTTAGAACCAATCTAGCTGGTAGATTGAAGGCAGAGCTTCATGAAATTGACGGTGATGATCATGAAGGTCTAGAAGACAAGCAGTACTTCACACAGTGGACCACAACATGGTGGCAACAGTTTTCAGTGTTGTTGAGAAGAGGGGTGAAAGAAAGGAGGCACGAGTCCTTCTCTGGCATCAAGATTGGACAGGTCCTTGTTGTAGCTTTTGTTTCAGGATTAATATGGTGGCATTCTGATATCAGTCACTTACAAGAACAGGTAACAAAATCTTTGTTTGTACATAGTTATTTACCGGATATATATATTGATAGTTTTCAGTGTGAAAGCTATCTACATCTAAGTAATAATGTCTTTCTTAACATTTCTTGATGGATTGCTTCAGTTATATGTCTATGGTGACCACAAAACAAAGGGAAATATAGTTGAGATGGGATGGGAATGAAACATTTTGAATCATATTAACAACGTACTTCAAATGAAATCTTATTAAGCATAACATTCTTAGAAACTTAATCAAAAATACTTATTTGGCTACCCATGTAAGTTTGCAGATGGGACTATTCTTCTTCTACGCAGCATTTTGGGGCTCTCTACCTCTGTTAGAAGCTATTTATACTTTTCCCCAAGAACGGATGATGCTCGAAAAGGAAAGATCTTCTGGGATGTATAGACTGTCATCATATTTCATCGCGAGGACTGTGAGTGACCTACCCATGGAGCTTGCCCTCCCCACCATTTTTGTTACCATAACATATTGGATGGCAGGGTTCAAACCCACAGCTGGAAATTTCTTGGGAACCCTAAATGTTGTCCTATTATGTGTGTTAGTCTCTCAAGGCCTAGGACTTGCAATTGGTGCTCTGGTAGTGGACCAAAAATCTGCCAGTATGCTGGGAACAGTTATAATGCTTTCCTTCACTCTAGTAAGCGGATACATGGTTCAGAATATCCCCTCCTTCATAGATTGGACTAAGTACCTCTCTGTCAGTATGTACACATATAAGCTCTTGTTGGTGTCACAATATAAGGCGACCGACACGTACCCATGTGGTACCGGCGACGCTTGCTTGATTGGGGAGTTTCCGTCTATAAAGCCTATTGGTCTTGGCGGCCAAGTCTTCTCTGTGGTTGCTATGGCTATAATGCTTTTGGGTTACAGGTTCGTTGCTTATATCGCCCTAATGAGGGTTGGAAAGACAATCAAATAGGTGGAGTACTCCAGATTAAGACTAGTAGCATGATGTTGATGATGATGAAGTTTTAGCTTTACGACAGTGAGAAAGTGTAGGAGGTTTCACCCTGGCTAAATATAAATAGATACCTATATATATGTATCTTTAATATGTAACTTTTTCTGCTGTTCTTCAAGTGTTTTCTGTCCAACTGCATCTTGTTCAGATAACAGCACAGGGCATAATCTAACATATGTGCGTAGAATATTTCAAGTAAAAATAAAGGCGCTTTAGAGTCTTTCCAGTGCTTGAATTCTGTGATATTTTCTTATTCTACCATTAGTTGTTACTGTCTGCATTATGACCTTAAACATTTTAACTTATGGAGGGCCTTGCACTTGCATGAACAATTGAAGAGGCCGAGCCTGCCCGGATGCAATATTCTTGAAGACCTGAATGGTGTGCAATAAATCACTGTTGAATCAACCAATGTATTTCTCCCTTTGTCCCATAAGTGTCCCATTAAAATATGGAAATTGATAATGGCGCTCCATAAAAATACTCTCGCGCTCCACCTCTTTAGTTTTGTAAATACAATGACCGAATTGCCCTCTTGATGTCCTATTTCAATTATGAAAGTTCTCTCTTTTTTGTTTTGTAACTTCACCAAACCTTCCTTTCTGCAGGCCGTAATTCAAGCTTCTCATGTATTGGAAAATTCAAATACTGATACTTGCTTTCATCAATGTTTTCAAGTAGAATTCTGAGATCGAAAACAAAATGAAACAATACCCTAGGCTCCTAGCCGATGCCTCCATAGGCTGAAAGCTTACCCGCCATGTCTTATAAGTATTGAAAGTAATGTTACGAGGTGGTTGAAGACGCCGTAGCCTAGGGTTTGAACAGAGGTGATAATGAGAGAGAGGATCAAAAGAGGTTGTTGGAACAGAGGAGATAATGAGAGAGGGTCAAAAGAGGAGGTTTGAACAGAGGTGATAATGATTTTCGCCCCAATCCTCTTTCCTTTCTTGTTCTCTCTCTTTCTGATTTTAGTTCTGTTTAAAGTGTTTCCTATGATTTCATCGATTAATCAAAACAATTGACAAATTGTGATTTATTAAAATTTGAAAATAAATTAATTTTGAACCAGCCTTTTTCTTACCTGAGCTGTTGTATCCCATTGACCACTCTGATATTATTGCCCTTCAATAATTCAATTCATTACCTTTAGTTATTGTACACTGACTAAACTCCTTGATATGGTGTGAGAGAGAAGGAAGGAAATAGAAATTTGATTATTTGTGTGTAAAGAAACAAGGATATGGGCAGTTTTGTCCTTCCATTTATTAATAGAAGATGTTGAAGCGTTAAAGTATATTTATGAAGCGCAAATACCAACTCCTAAAATCGAATTAATAGATTGTTAATTACTTCTTCCTCCGTTTCAAAATATTAGTTAGTGTCGAATTAATAGATTGTTAACTATTACCTCCGTCCCACTTTAATTATCCTATTTTGAAAATCGCAAGTCACGGATCCCAAAAACAAGACAATTAAAAACCCAGAACATGCAGCTCTAGCGGACAGGAGGTTGGTCTGTGACTTCGTGTAATATTTGGGCAATCCAGACATTGGTCACTTGATTCTGGCAGACCAGAGGCATCCAATTCAAATGGTCAGCATCATTTTATAATTAAATATCTCTCTACCTAAGGCTTCATTAAGAAGAAGATAATATTAGTTATAAGAAAAAATAATAATAATAATAATAATAATAGTAGTAGGATAGTAATAACTTATATTTATGGATAAATTGTGAAAGAAAAGAGAAAAAAAAAAATGACAATATTCTTGTTTAAAAAAAAAAGAAAAAGAATTAAATTAAATTATTATCATAACTTTTTTTTTTCTATAGAATGTTATTTTAAGAGAAGTCAAATGTTATAAGAGTGTAGTTTTGGAATAATAAAAATACTACTTATTCACTATCATTTTTTTTCAAATCTTTTTTCTCTCTTCGGTAAAAGCTATCCAAACACCATTTTCACAATTTATTTATTTATTATTATTATTTTTTCTTTCCAAATTTCTCCAAATCACTCCAGACAAGCCCAAACCAAGCATAAATAAAAGTACAGTGACCATATAATTTTGGTGCCATATTTGCCTACTCTGCTCTGTCCTGTTGATACCGTGATGTCACCACGCTCCTAAACGGTTGGTCCCAAATATTTCGACTAGAAAAATAATACTCCGTAAAATAAACGACGCAACCAATATCTAGTTTATTGGCAATCAGTGGAAATTAATTAAGAAGTCAAACTTATTGAAATTATTATTATTTTTTTCCCCGGTAAACAAACAACTTCTATAAATGGACAAAAATATACAAAAGGGCCAAGCCCAAAAGCCCGTAGGCATACAAAATATCCTACTTAACCCGATCCATTGACCTCACAAGTGAAACGTTCCAGAGATTAATTTAAGAAGATCTCTAACGTTTCCGGGAAGATAACATAATCTACATTTGAGATTGTAGAAATTAAAAGAAGCAGATTACAGAGAGAGAAAGCCAGAACCAAAAATAACTCAATAAAAGCGGTCAACCACTTGTGACCAAACCCCTGTAATCCAGGTGCCCTGTCTTCTCTCTCACGCATTACATGAATATGTGGCATGTCTACGTACGGATCCTTCTTCTGTATGTTCCCTTCAAGTCCACTATCATTTAACATATTAACACCTCTATATAGTATATATACAACAAACACATAGAAATAGGGAAAGAGGGATATCAGTTTTTCTCTGTCATCATATTTATTCACTTCATCCTGCTTTTTTAGAGAGAGAAGAAAGGAGTTTGAGAGAGAGAGAAGGAGTCGGGAGGTAGGAGGAACTAAGCAAGCGAGGAACTAGAAATGGCAGAGATAGAGGTGCAAATTCAGACAACACAACACCACCACCCTACCATTTTTAAGAAAGCTAAAAGTCCTGTTACTGTGAGGGTACGTTCAGATCATGATCATCAATGTTTTATGCATGCATGTTCTTTATTAGTCTCTTTTTGTGATAAATATGAATGTGAATATATATTTTTATCATTCAAAGATTGAACATGCATGGTTCTCTGTTCCTGGATTGAAAGAGTGTTCTGTTGGGAAAAAGGGCAACAGTCTCACTAATATATTATTTAATTTTGATCAGAAGATAACACAGCTTACCATACATTATAATACATAAGATCTTACATATCTATTTGAGATTTTGGTGTGTGTGTGTGTGTGTGTGTGTGTGTATAATAGGTGTATATATATGTATAATTATATATGAGAAAGCCCAAGAAGGCCAAACTGGACCAATAGAACCAGACCATGTCCACCCTGATTTTTGTATTGTTTTACTAAAACAGTTAACTAGGTATTTTATAATTTTTACCTTGAAAAAAAACATAGACGTTCATTTTTGCCTTTATGGAAACTTGAACGGTGAATAAATACTATTGGGCTACAACATTGATGGTAATTAACTATGTATTATGGGTTCATGAGTTTGTAGTACTTTTTTTTTTTTCTTTCAAAAATATATTGGAAAAAATGAGATTGTTCAAGTTTTCTTTATTTTGACCAAATCGATTTTCAAGGGTATATAGTTGTGTATTCTTAATTTTAAATTTACTTGTGAAGAGATTAATTATTATCTTGAGAAAGAAATAATGTTGCATTTGAAAGTATTGAATCCATGTATTGAAACTAGATTTGAAGAAAAAAATTAGTTTAAAATTTGAACTAATTTTTCTCAAATTTCAAATCCAATTCAAATTCCAAAGGACCCAATCCATGCTCCTAAACATAACTTCCATGATTTTATTTTGGGTAGTGTTAGCAGATTTTTTTGACCAAGTAATTGAAAAGAATAACTTTGACTGAACAGTTTTAATTGGTCATGTATACAAAATATAAAGAAATTTTTTTAATGGTGAACATGGAAATATATATAGACCCTAGTGCCTCACGAAACATTAAGTTTCAGAATTGATTCTATGCAAAAAATTCCTTGGTGGGGGTGTATGAGTACCAACTAGGAAAAAATTATATATATACACACCAAATAATTACATTATTATAATCATCCATCACTACTTTTATCTTAATTCAGTAGGTTGGACTAATAATTTAACTAACTTCACAGTTTGAGGATGTTGTTTACAAGATTAAAACCAAGAAAGGAGGAATCCTAAAGAAGAAGTCAAAAATTGAAGAGAAAACAATATTGAAGGGAGTCACAGGCATGGTCCTGCCTGGTGAAATGTTGGCCATGCTAGGCCCTTCTGGCAGTGGCAAAACAACTCTCCTCACTGCATTGGGTGGCCGACTTGGAGGCCATATCAGTGGAAGCATAACATACAATGGCAAGCCTTTTTCGAACCAATTGAAGCGGAACACTGGATTTGTCACTCAAGATGATGTCCTGTATCCTCATCTGACCGTGACTGAAACACTAGTATTCACTGCTCTTCTCAGGTTACCCAATACTCTCACTAACCAAGAAAAGGTCACACATGCAGAGTCTGTGATCACTCAACTTGGATTGACCAGGTGCAAGAACAGCATTGTAGGGAGTCAATTCCTAAGAGGGGTCTCAGGAGGTGAGAGAAAAAGGGTAAGTATAGGCCAAGAGATGCTTATAAATCCAAGCCTGTTGTTTCTTGATGAACCAACATCAGGCCTTGACTCGACAACGGCTCAACGGATTGTATCAACACTGAGGGAGCTGGCTAATGGAGGAAGGACGGTTTTGATGACGATACACCAGCCATCGAGTAGTATATTTTACATGTTTCACAAGGTGTTGTTGCTATCAGAAGGTCATCTTTTGTATTTTGGTAAGGTAGCAGAGTCCATGGATTACTTTGCTCATATCGGATATTCCCCATCAGTTACCATGAATCCTTCTGATTTCTTGTTAGATCTTGCGAATGGTATGTGCACTACAACTTATTATCTTATATTGGAACTGATTATTATGTTAATTAGTTCATTACTGCTGCTTGATTTTTATAGGAACTGCTTAAAGAATTGAGTCAATGAGTTTTATTTTAGAATTTATTGCTAAATTTTAGGAACTTCATATTGAATGTAAGTCAGTGATTTTTGTTTTCATCCTAGCTCTTTGCAAATACATACCATGTTAACATCTCCTTTCTCCATTTATTGCAATGATATAAAATGTCACTAGAGTAATAGTTAAAAGAATTGAACTGCACTAAAATTAATTCCTATGTTAGGCTGTATAATCACATTAAGTTGTCATTGTCCTTGTTTCTGTAGGCGTTTTATCATATGATGGCCGGGAGGCTGAAGCTGTAGTTAAGCAGACTCTGGTTTCGGCTTTTAGAACCAATCTAGCTGACAGATTGAAGGCAGAGCTTCGTGAAATCAGCGGAGAAGTTCGTGAAGGTTTAGAAGACAAGCAGTCCACAAAGTGGACCACAACATGGTGGCAACAGTTTTCAGTGTTGTTTAGAAGAGGGGTGAAAGAAAGGAAGCATGAGACCTTCGACACCCTCACAGTTGTGCAGGTACTACTGGTAGCTTTCCTTTCAGGTTTACTATGGTGGCAATCTGGCATTGCTCACATACAAGAACAGGTAACATATCTTCGTCTCTCTCTCTCTCTCTCAATATATATATACATGCGTGTGTGTTGCAGATAAAAATGTGGTAGAGAGTTATGGTTTTATCAACTCCAAGAAAGTCATTAGTATATAGAGGATTATTTATAACAAAAAATAGTTGAATTGAAGTTGAATTTGGTAAAGGATGAAATGCTTAATTAAAATGGTCTACTGCAATTCAACATAAACTTCATTTCAGTTATATTATGAACAGAAGGGGTGAATAATATTCATGCCATTTACAAGTTGAGATGTGAGTGAAATTTCTTCAATCATTTTAACAGCTTGAAATGTGAGCATATCAATTATTTGTTCTTAGCATACATTCATATAGGGCTTTTTCAATCATTTTAACAGCTTCAAATGAAAGCTTATCAAGCCTAACATTCTTACCAACTTAATTGAATTCCCTGTTTGGCTACACATGCATGCAGATGGGGCTTCTCTTCTTCTACTCAGGATTTTGGGGCTTCTTACCTATGTTAGAAGCCATTTACACTTTCCCCCAAGAATGCATGATGCTGGAAAAGGAAAGATCTTCAGGGATGTATAGGCTGTCATCATATTTCATAGCGAGGACCGTGGGTGACTTACCCATGGTGCTTGTCCTCCCCACAGTTTTCGTTACCATAACCTACTGGATGGGAGGGCTCAAACCCACAGCTGGAAACTTCTTGGAAACCCTATCTGTTCTCCTATTACATGTGCTAGTCTCTCAAAGCCTAGGACTTGCCATTGGTGCTCTGATAATGGACCAAAAATCTGCCACTATACTGGGAACAGTGACCTTGCTTTTGTTCACTCTAGTTAGTGGATACTATGTTCAGAAGCTGGCTTCCTTCATAGCTTGGTTTAAGTACATGTCTATCCATCAGTACACATATAAGCTGTTGTTGGGGTCACAGTATAAGCCCAGTGACACGTACCCTTGCGCTACCACTGGCACTTGCTTGGTTGGGGAGTTGCCTTCTATAAAGCTTGTTGGTCTTGATGGGCAACTCATCTCTGTGGTTACTTTGGCTATGATGCTTTTGAGTTACAGGTTCATTGCTTATATTTCTCTAATGAGGATCGGAAGGACAAACAAATAGGTAAGAGTCCAAATTAAGCCTAGAAGGCTAGTCCAAGAGTTCTCTGTGGAACTGTATCTTGTTCTGACTCTAAAACAAGGAAGAAGCTAGCTAATATATATGTATGTGGAATAGTTTATGTGAAATTAAAGGTACTTTCAAGTTTTCTAGTATTACTTGTTTTCTGTTTTCTATAATACTTTCAAATTTTATTTTGGACAATGCTACTCTGACTTGATAGTCTAACCGGTCATGTTAGTTTAACATTTTTTTATCCCTTGGATGCATTGGATAGAGTCAAAGTTTTGACGTTATCCAACCTATCCCATGGTAAAAATTCCTTGACGTACTAGACTTCTCGGTTAGATTTACCGGTTACTGGACATTCCAATGCCACAAATTGTGCGGGATGATATGATGATGATGAACTAGTTATGTGTGGTATCAGAATTGGCAGCCCTTATTAATGAGCCACAGAACATGCAACTGTAGTACTGGACAGCTTTCCAATTGTTGGGTTCCTAGTGAACAAGCAGATGGGTGTTTTCCTCTGGCGTAATATTTGGGCTTGCTGCAGGGACACCATATCAGCAGACCAAACACATGCATCCAGTCCAAAATGGTCTGCATCATTTTCTAATTAGGTGTGTATCTACCTAAATCAATGTAAAGTTCTCATTCTGGTGTCATATTTGCCCATTCTGCTGTGTCCTGCTTGGATGGCTCAAGTTTGTTCTATTGTTTGGTAAAAGAGAGAGGAAATGGAAGTATATATAGACAAAACTTTCATATGCACCCATCAATTTGGTTGTGTCCAAAATTGGGTAGGAAGGAGAAGGGAATAGAAGAATATATTTTTTACTAAAATGGAAAGTTAACAGTGAGAAAATTATATTAAAAAATTTCTAGTTCCGTTCCTCGTACTAAACAATGAAAGGATTAGGTGATTTCCTTCACTTCCACTAGGCCTAGATTCTTTATTTTTTTTTTTTTTTTGAGAGACTTGAAACCTCTGCCTTTCGTTTAAAAAAAAAAAGTTACCACTTACTAATTTACGAGAATAGTTTTTTTTTTTTTTTTTTTGTTCTCTAGAAAAAGTAATAATAATAATAATAAAAGATGGTTGAAAGGTTTTCAAATAATCAACCAAACACCTAGTTTTCTTTCATTTGATATGTCTTTTCCACATATTTCTTTGGAAACTTTATGTGACTTATTTTTCTTTGTTTTATCATGTAATTCTCAAATTCCAAATCAATGCAATGTTGATTATATTCAAATTTAAAATAATTTGTTATCAGCATATCTTGAATTTCATATCAGGAATTGTTACCAATAAACACAAGTCTAGATAGTATAAATTATACAGGACAAAGCTCTGTAGGCCCAAGAGAAATTTCTTTTTTCTCACCCACTACCACTGTTAATTACCAACTAATAATAATAATATTATATTTGGAACAATTGGGAATTTAGTCCTAAGATTTTTGTAATTCATGTGGTTTGCAAGTAATTTTACTAATTCGAAGTTACACAGTGAGTTTTGGGGACTATTGAAGGAGTGATGTAAAGTCGGTGTAGTTGAAAAGGAAATTACCGAAGGCCCCACCCAAGAGAAGATGAATAAATGATGGTATACTGGTTATGGGATCGTGACTGTGTGCACTTTAAACAAAAAAAAAAAAAGAAGAAGAAGAAGAAGTGTGGAACTCAACAAAAACATTGTTCTTCATGCGATTGTCCTCCTAATTTTGATAATGACCTAATTGGCCTCTCATACATTGTCAAATTCAACCAGAAATTCTTAAGTCATTCACCATATTAATCTAAGTCTAATCTTAATTACACACGTATGGTTGAATCACAAGTCTCATTATGTTTGTAAATTGTTTTTAACAATTGGAACTGACATGATGAGGAGCTCAAATTTCGCTTCAAAATTTTACAACTACAGGTAAAGCATCCGAGATTATAGAATGAAATTTAGTCCAAGTCCAAATTTGAACAAAATTCAATCAACCTCAGTAATCCAAAAAAATCTCAAATATAAGAAGAGTTAAATCATTTTTGTTTCTTTTAAAGCAAAATAAGGTTGCATGTTTTATTCACTGGTGACATAATATTCTTAATTATAATTCATTACCCTTTTTTTCTCTCTAGCCACTCTAAGTAGGTGAAAAGTAATAATCAAAAGCTTAAAGTAAGAGATATTGAGGGGTGTGGCCCCACTATCTCACCATGTAGCTGTATTTTTTTAACAAAGAGTAATCATGGCGTTGAAAAAAACAAAAAAATAAAAATTATAGCAAAAGAAGTTTTTTTACTTTTTTAATTTTGGGATATGATCCAACATTACAGACATAGCCTAAACCAATCACGAATTATATAGTTCCAGAACATTTAAAAAGTTCTCAATGGTAGCCTAGCCGCAAAGGCAGCCGACCACTCAATGAATGGTGGGGATACATATGTGTGTGTATAGATATATATATATTTTGATCCACCCAATGATCTTTTCTTGTCTGCACTCCACTGCACATACATATATACTTGTATGTTTGGACTTTGAACAGTGGTATGTAGAGGCAATCTTTCTTTTTAATTACCATGTCCTATAGCTACATGTTTATTTGATGTGGCACCTAGTAGACACCCACTTACAGTGCCTCCAAACTCCAACCATATTGTCATTGGTTTTTGACTCACTTCACGTACGAGGATGACTAGCTTGGTTTTTTTTATATTATAAGCTAGACTCCACAGTAAAGTCTCTCTCAATCTCCTAAATTTAAAAAAAAAAATTTATTTCACAGTTGTTAGTGTTAATAAAAGTTTATCCAATTTTTTATTTTTAAAAAAATGACTAAAACAAGAGAACAAGATTAAAAAGTACAATCAGGGAGAGCCAAAGCCAAGATATGAACAAGGGCACACTGTATGAATGGGGGTATTTGACAACTTGGCGATCTCATGGACTACGTTATGTATTGTTTTTGTTATTATACTATCATTTTCTCTTTAATTAATTTATGTATGATATTATATATATATAAACACAAGCTTGTATAGAATTTTCATGTAACTACTATGTGATCGTTTCAGCTCTAATCCACTTCAAAACAAAATGATATATTATTCTTACATTTGGAATATATAAAATTCACATAATTTCAAGAATTAGTTTTGATGAAAGTTTTATTGTCTGGTTAAAAAATATTCATTACTTATTTATTTATTTTTTTTGTTTTAGTGTTGAACCTATCAAAGCACATACAATATTATCTCAATAGCAGCTGAATGGTGCTCTCGTCCTACACCATTTTACTTGCCACTTTTGTTAATGACAGTATGAACTCCATTTAAAGATATTAAAATGGCTGCCTAAACGTAAGCTCTATGTCAAAAGAAAATTCCATTTAATCTCTTATATGAGTCTCATTATTTTTTAATAAAAATTGGAAGACAGTATAGATAAATAGCCATTTACAACCACTAATTAAGGAATCGATGAAAAGAAATTAAGTAAAAGGAAAAATTAAGCTGAAAATAATAGCATTAGTTACAACATTTTAATTTCTCTTTTTCACATCTTTTCATTTTCTCACCTATTTAAAAACTTCCAAACTTCAAAAATATTGGGACACACACTAAATTATTGACCACTACAACCGTTTCTCCTTTGTTTCAAATTTTTAATGCCGTTGAATTAATATTGTTTATTTATGAAAGTATATTAAAAGTTAACAGCACATGTAAAATTTTCATTTATGTGGATCCAAACCTGCAGGTCAATATAACTACCTAAAAGAGAATAATATAAAAGAATCATTACCGACCCTAACCAAACAGTCAAATACCTTTGACCCTTCTGATCATGTCAAGTGATATCATTTGAACTTCTAACCATTTTAATTGTGTTAATTTTGAGTGTATGGCAATATACAGAAATATTGCGACACACTCAATTATTGACCACTATAACTATTTTCTCTCTGTTTAAATGCTCATGAATTAATATTATTTATTTATAAAATTATATTATAAATTAAAAGGCACGGGTAAAATTGAATTTATGTAGACACAAACTTGTACAACAGTATATCTACCTTATTAATAATTCTCTAATTTAAAGAGAAAAATATAAAAGAGCTAGTAATTGTTTCGGAACTAGGAGCCAATGACCCTAGCCGATGAGTAAAGCACCTTTGTCCCTTTTGAACGTGTCAAGTGGCATCATTTAGGCCCGTTTAGCATAGCTTTTACTTTTGCCCAGATCATGTAATCTTTACTATGTGAAGCACAACATTTGTTTGTATCAAGAAGAAAAAGACAAGTAGAAGCCCTCACTTCTATTGGGCTTATGTATTAATGCTTGGAAATTGCATTGTAGAAGAGTTTTTAATGTTGTAAGGGTTTTTTAATCTGTTTGGCAAAAAGTTTGCTTAAACTCTTCTACTACTAATATAACTATTTTGCCATTTATTCAATTTATCTGTAACAAGCCATATATATATAATAAAAATTTTAAAAAAAAATTGCAAAAACTATTTTGCGTTTTATAAAATTTAATAACAGTGTTTCAATATGCTATTAAAAAATCAATCAAATGAGCATTTTTACCATGTAAACCAATGAGCTTCACAAGCAAAACTGAGACAAAATAAAATTGAAAGGAAAAAGCATATGATGGATGGTAGTGAATATGAGAATAGGCAAAAAAAAAAAAAAAAAATACCAAATTACATATGGCAATAGGCATATATTTATATATATATGCCTGTTGCAATGTGTAACATATATATATATATTGTTCTCAGCCTTTAGTGGCTTACTTAGGATTTTGCAATTTAATGATTTGTTAGAGCTTGAACGACAAAGAAGAGAAGCCAAACAAGAATCTTCTTCTGGGTTTACACCCGATTGAATGCTCTATTAGATCAGTCTTTTGAGTATGAAGGGAATATGTAATGAATTTTTTTTTTTTTTTTTTTTTTCTTTTTGAAAGTGGAGAGGCAAGATATGTAACGGTTTGGAAAGAAAAATAAAGGAACTTTTATAGGAATACGCTTGGAGTTATATTTTTTTTGTTAAGTAATAAAAAAGGTACGCTTGTCATTTAAAAAGTTTCATTAAAACACCAAAACTCTTCATGTGTTGTTTCAAAAGAGCGTTTTGAAAAAGTTGGAGTCCACAGCTTTTTTAAAACGCTCTTCCAAAGACTCAAAGCTCTTCTAAAAAATTTGTCAAACACCACCCAAAATAGCTTTTTAGTCCAAAAAGTCAAAAACAGCGTTTAAAAAGTCAATCCAAACAGGGCCTTAGAGCCGAAGGGCTAGCGGAGCACTTCTGACCACTTTAAATTTATTTGATGTTTAATGTGTTGTGAAATAAAATATTGTGTTTTATTTACTTGATTCTTTATTTATGAATATATTAATTATTGTATTTAAATTTATAATATTACAGAAAATCGATATTAAAAAAATGTATTTTTTTGTATGTAAAATATATATATATTTTAAAAAAATATTATATATTGCTATATCATTATCTTATTTTTAAAAAAATTTAATCGTATTCACGTATCTAAACCGTATTATACTCCTATCCTATGTTTTTGCCCGTGCTTTTATAAAGTGGCACCATCTGAAGTCCAAGGGGCCCTTGTGGAGCACCAGTTACCACTTTAATTGTGTTAATTATGATCCCACTTTGACACAATCAAAGGGGGGTTGAAAGCGTAAAGTGTTAAGACAATCCCTCAATATAAAATTGAAACAATGAAAATCATGGAATGTAAGCGTCAATGAGGAACATATTCCTTTTTTTTTGGGCTCAACGAGGAACATATTCATTTTATGTAATACGTGACGTTTATGTAGCATCAATTATATATTTACTAACACGTGGCAGAACATAAAGAGTTGAGGCACCTACTTAGTGGTACTAGTCTAACCTTAATATTCTAACTCCACATTAATACCATTTGCTAAATATTATATGTAATGCATTCAAGTTCCACACACGTGCAAACTCTTAACTTAGACAATATATATCTTAAAAAATATGCTTCTACTTGTCAAAATCTCATGCACACAATGTCACGGGTCTACACTAAATGAACCAAAAGCCTTTGACGTGCCCATTTGACCCACCCAACATTTCAAAGCTCAATCTTTTGACATGCCCATGGATTCCAATTTCAAATCCAAACTCACTTTCTCTCTCTTGTTTTCTCTCTCTAAACATACAGCTAGCCTTCCACGTTCACAAAGCTTCAAAGAGAATATCAATCAATGAACATTTCAGTACACTTGTAGACCATTCGGACCTTGACCGAACAATATTTGATATTATAGATAACTCCAGAGAGATTGAAGAGTGAAAGAAACTCTTTGTATTAAAACCCACACCAAAGACAAAAAAAAAAAAAAACAGAAAGATTAAAGAAAAATAAAAAGAAGAAAAGCAATTTTGTGCTAACGTGTCAGCTAATTGTGACGCCGTTACCACTTTTTTTCTTGCTTTCCCTGTCACTACTCCATCTTTTGAAAAAATTCCGCCTAACTTCAAACGCCTCTCTCTCCAGCACTCCACGTGTTTGCACGTGTCCTTTACTCCACCTTCCTCTCTCTGCCGACGTGTTTTACTCCACGCGTGAAAAATGCTACCCCAACACGAATTAAACGTTGTTTGTTTGTACTACTTTGTATATGTTGTGTCTGCATCTATATATATATATATATATAAATTAGGAAAAAAAACACACACACACACCTACAGTAAAATTAGTTCATTTTAAAAAAATATTAAATTATTTTAAAGTTAATTAAGAAGAATAATTAGCTTAGACTATAAAAAAATAATAATAATAAAAGAGAATGAAGTTAATAACTTAATATATGTATTTCACATATATGTATAAATAATAATAATGTGCACTTGTAAATTATTTGACCATTGAATTGAATAATTTGATGGCTATCTCATAACTTTTGTGATATCTCATGATAGACATTATTACAAATATTGTAAATGAGTCTTTGTACATTTCTTATAAACAAAAATTCAAGAAGCATATTCTATTTAGAATTATAGATACACAATACACACTTTCTTTCTCACTACTTTTTCTTTTCTTTGTAAATGAGTCATATGTACATTTCTTATAAACAAAAATTCAAGAAGCATATTCTATTTAGAATTATAGATACACAATACACACTTTCTTTCTCACTACTTTTTCTTTTCTTTTCTTTTCTTTTTTTTTAATTTTTTATTTTAAAGGATTTATCTCTGTAGCTCGTTATCATCTACTAGAAGTTAATTGCAAAAGAGGCACGTGTCACTGAAATTTGATGATTCACAGAGTTTTTTTTTTTTCTCTTTTTCGTGACGGTTCATGCACTTGGCTCTACAACCCGGACTTCAGGATAAGGTCGGCCGCTTGATAAACTTCGAACCTTGTGCACGTGGCAACCACTTAACGATGATCAACTCTGTAGGTCCCACTTCAAATCACCGAGACAGTGACGACCGTACTTATCTCTCTCCTTCACTCTTCCCTATATAAATAACCGCCATCTCTGTTATCTCTGAAAAAAAGAAGAAATAGAAGAATTAGAAAATTTTACATCTGTCATCTATCTTTAACCATTATCTATTTCTCTCTCTAGAAAACATCGAACGAAATGGGAGTGCCGGAGACAGACCCGCTTTCTCAGCTAAGCTTACCGCCGGGATTCCGATTCTATCCGACCGACGAAGAGCTTTTGGTTCAGTATCTGTGCCGGAAAGTTGCAGGGCACCATTTCTCTATGCAACTCATCGGAGAAATTGATTTGTACAAGTTCGATCCATGGGTTTTACCCAGTAAGTATTCAACAACGAGAAATCTGAATCTCGTTCATTATCTGAATAATTTTGTTGTAATTGTTCCGAAATTGAATAAATTGGTTCGTTTTCGCAGGTAAAGCTATATTCGGAGAGAAAGAATGGTACTTTTTCAGTCCACGGGATCGTAAGTACCCAAATGGGTCGCGACCAAACAGGGTAGCAGGGTCTGGGTATTGGAAGGCTACAGGAACTGATAAAGTGATTACGACGGAGGGACGAAAGGTGGGTATCAAAAAAGCTCTGGTTTTCTATGTGGGTAAAGCTCCAAAAGGAACCAAGACCAATTGGATCATGCATGAGTACAGACTCTCAGAGCCTTCAAGAAAAGCTGGAAGCTCCAAGGTACCTAGATATCAAATTAGCATTATTCGATTTGATTCAAAGTTTCAATTTTGAATTTGTAAAGATGGTTTCATTTTGCTAATATATATGCTTTGGGTTCAGTTGGATGATTGGGTTCTATGCCGCATTTACAAGAAAAATTCCGGTGGTCAAAAGCCTGTTTTGAGTTTTCCGAGCGTTGAACATAGCCACGGTTCATCATCATCGTCTTCGTCTCAATTCGACGACGTGCTCGAGTCGTTGCCGGACATCGACGACCGGCTATTCGCTTTGCCGCGGATGAGTTCGCTGAAAGCTATGCACAAGCTTCAGAACCTTACATCGGGGAATTTTGACTGGGCGAGTCTCGCCGGAATCAGCTCGTTGCCGGAACTCGTTCCTGGCGGTCAAGCTCAGGCTCAGGAACGTACACAAGCACCTCTTAATAACAATAACGGAATGTATGTCTCTTCTGTCCCATCGATGTACCACGTGGACTCGCAGTCTCATCAGAGGTTTGGTGTCTCCGGGGGTGAAGAAGTTCAGAGCGGAATCAGAACTCAGCGACTTGAGAACTCGGGGTTCTTTCAGCCGAACCCAAACGCGTTCACTCATACTTTCACTAACTCGCTTGACCCGTTTGGCATTCGGTACTCGACTTAGTATGGAGGATCCGGATTCGGATTTGATTTGGGTTTGGAGTACAGAACAGAAACAAAAAGTAGGGAGGGTATATCTGTTAGCAAAATCAATTCTGGGTGGCGTTCCTGTAAATACCTTGAATTTTTTGGGCTAACATTTTGGGTTTAGACGCGGGGAAGAAGGCTCAAGTGTGGGTGTTTTTGGGCACCAGAAGAGTTCATGCCATTTTGTTAATGGTTAGGGGCGTAGTGCACAAATTGAATGTACAAAACAAGTACAAATCAATCTCAAATACATAATTACAATGTAATTTCATTTCGGATTTGCAAAGTTTATGTTTATTTACTTCAATATCTAATATCTTTAGAACTCTAAATTTTGCAGTCGTTTTAATAAATGTTCCTCTCAGTTACTATGTAGGGGTTACCTATCTAAGCTTGTGTAATGTATAATGTATGAATATTCTTATTTATTTATTTACTTATTCATTTTGAATGATTGGTGATTGTATTACATAATCAGGAGTATTAGGCTTTATTTTAGGTTTTGTTAATATTGTTGGAGAAATTTAATTTAAATTCTTTATTATCAATTTCATCCATTTTAATACAAAGCTCCAATTTCATATAAATCACCAAACACAGTTGTAAATTATTAGGTCTAAATTGCATTGTTTTAATTATTAGGTCTAAATGAAAACATAATTTTAATTATTTAATAATAATCTTGTTTAGGAATGTACTGATTTATGTTAACTATTGGTACTCAGTCAAACACTTGAAAACATATATATACATCTGTAGATCACATTGTTCCATTATGGTACAACTATGATTGAATTGTCTACAACTTAGAACCGAATCAAAATGGAATCAATTTAATTTGTGCTTTTAACAAGACTAGTGGTGTGTGCTAGATTGTCGGTCGATTGATATTTTCTCAGAACGCGCATGTTTCTCAGATGGTGTGGCTCAATACTTTGAAAAGGTGCCAATTTTGGTATTGGATTCGAACTTTGTAACTCCACATTAGACTGGAAAGTTGGACTCGGAAAACTTTTCTACCTAAATTAGGCCTACTTCACATGCATATATTGAATTGAATGTACACCAATACAAAAATTCAACAATAACACTTGATTATTATAAAGTGTTTGATAACATTATGGTAATAATGTTAACATATTTTATTATTATTATTGCTTTTCTTGTAATTTTAACTAACCAATGTTTTATTATTATTTTTCAAGGATTTTTTCAACATATTTTTATTAGGACAAAAATTGTCTACTCGTCCCTAAGTATGTGGTTCAATTATAAATGTATAAATAATTCATAATTATAAAATCAAGAAAGTAATAAAAAAGGACATTAATAATTTTTTTAAATTTTTTAATAATAAATTCGGTCATCATTTCGGATTTCCTTATTTATCACCTTCAATTTTGTAATTACAAGACTATTTTTTGCATTTATGATTGAACCACATCAACGGTTAGTAGGATTGATTTATTCACTAGTGAGTTGACAAGTATTTTTTTTTTTTTTATTAGGACAATATTTGCATACTCATTGTAGAAAGTACATGCTTACCTCTGATGTAACGTAAAAGTAATATGACAATGCTTATCGGATCAATCCAAAATGATGCAAATCAAATCATAATTTAACTCTCTCACTCTCTTTCTCTCTCTCAAACTACTACGCTCTAAAATCGATTGTATAGAATTAATCTCATAAAATTTAAATTTAAAACAAATTTAATTTAAATTTTAAACTAAATTTTTACGATTTTAATATTTAATTATTAATTGAACATAGCAAAAAGTATTTGGTACAACAATAAATTGAAATCCGAATGCTGTTTCTTTCTGAATGAAATCTAGAGATGTCCATATCAAATTACTCTATGCCAAATTGAAGTGGCCTAAAAAGTTTTAAGATATGCATTGACCAATTTGATTGTTTGAAAAATAAATTGGCATGTGACCTAATTAAAGCTTCACGTTTTCCAATAGTTTTTGCGGCGCCTTTAAATGTATAGAATTTTCCTATTGAAGTTGTTTTTAATATTTGAATTATATTTCTTCTCTGGCTGATTTCAAGGAATGTTAGACTCCTTCAAGCAATTTCTGTTTGACACGCAAAGTAACTTGCATCATAAAATTTGGTGTGGTGACGCTTGTAAATGTATGTGTGTTGTATGGTTTGCATCATAAAATTTATTCTCTCATTTATGAAAATACTTTATGAAAAAGAAATGGGAATAAAAACAGCTGTGTCTTCTTTGAATAGTCCTCTCTCGTACATAGATTTTTTAGACTCAATGGGTTTTTACTTTTTAATCTAGTCTTTCTTATAATGTGTACAGTGTATATCTTGAAATACACACGTATCTATTTTTTTTTTTTTTTCTTCTTATTTTATTTTATTTTATTTTTTATATATAATGGACAATTGGAATACTACGCTATATATAATGGGTTTCTTTTAACACTTCATTGCTTGCAAATGCCTTTGTAGCCCAACGATTGAGTTGCTCTTCGTTCTCATTATCTTTAGAGCTCCGATTTTAGATTTTCGCACCCTCTAACTTCTAATCTAACATTTTTGTCCTGAAAAGCAAAAAAATAAATGAATAAATCAGTTGCTATTATATTGTCAAGTCCAAGAAGAGCTCATGAGATGGGCTATTGTTGATCATTCGACTAGGGTCAGACCAACTTAGTGGGCTACAAAACCATCGTTGAGGCTTCCAAACCAATTAAGGTGGGACAAAGGAAAATGTGATATCTAGAGCAAGCCCCATCTGACCCCAGTCCTATGGGTTATAGTGGACCTGGCCCAATTTAAAGTTGTAAACCACGACCAAAACCCATTATGGTTCATTTTATTACCATTCAAGCGCCAACATGAGCTTCTGAGTATATACTATACATTTCTTAAAGTATGTTCATTAGCATATAAGAATTTTCTTTCAACTTAAAAATATTGATCTGCAAAATCTACCTAAATAAAATCCTTTCTACTGAAAAGTAGTCCAGTAATCACATCAAAAACGCAAAGAAAAAAAAAAAAAAAAATATTGATAGGCTCCGTCAGTTTATTTCAACGTATAATATTTTTTCAAAGTACGGTTATTAGCTAATAGTACTTCTTTAATTTTTAATGGTTAAGTCCGTAAGGACAAGCAGGCATGTGAATATATTTTTTGTCAACGTAAAAAATAAATAAATAAATAAAAATAATAAAATAAAAAATGAAATATTGTATTCTTAGGCTTCTATATATTATTGCTAATCATATTTTTTGAAAGATAGAATAAATTAAAGACAAATTTAATAAACAAATTAAACTAATCCTGTAAATTAAGACAATTACTCTATCGGGAGCTCCATTGCCTCTAGAATATGACTGCTTTATAGATTTGAAATAACAAATTGAATAAAGAAAGAAAAAAATAAAAAAAGAGTAAACGCCAAGAATATTCATGAAAAAATCACGAATTTCACTAGTACACACAAGTGAAATACAAGGTTTTTTTTTTTTTTTTTGGTTAAAAGGTAAGCTTGATGATCAATCCTGCTAGATAAAGTATATAGTTTTTCTATATATATAGTCATTTATGGTAATAGATTTTGCATTCGGTATATTCTTCCACATGCTCTCTATTTTCTTGGAGATATATATATATATATATATATATATATATATATTGATGGGTGTAAACAACTTAATTGAGAGGGAAGCCCAATGGGTTGACAACTCCGTGGATGAAGACGTACAATGACCAACTTTTTTTTGTCTTGATGAACAAAAAAGGGAAGTGACTGTACCTTCAACAGTGTGACCAAAACTAGCTTAAGAAGAGCTATTAATGAAAGCAATCACATTATCTTGCCTAGCATTTTTGAGCTCTACTCATTTGGAATCATCACCATCTCACAATTATCTTATATCGTCATGTCTACTTTTCTTAATTTTTTGAAAATGAAATCCAATTATTTCAGTCGTTAATGCAGTTAATTAAAATGACAGTACTTGGTTAATTGTCACGCACGCCATATCATTCTAGGAAGATCATCATGACACCCTAATCTACACCATATATATTGCGTAATCAATCTATGTAATACACATGCATGACAAAGGTCATGCTAATATTTCTTTAAGATCAATTCATTAACAAAGTACACACAATCTCCATTTTTTATTGTCGAATTAACCATTTTGACATCTAGTTGGGACCAGAAAAAACCTTAATTATGAGTTTAGAATTATATTATGTATTGTATTTTGTTACAATGATGAACTACATGCATCACAAGCTAGCCAATCTCCACGATGAGCAAATTTCATTTAATTCTACCCTGCAAATTTATGATTTAACAAGATAATTAGGACTGACAAGATTAATTAATTTTTAGTGACGGTGACTTTGAAATTGAATGTACACAATTACAGAAGTGGTACTAGTTGAAGATAATTAAACAAGATGTAATGCAGATTAAACGAAGAAAGAAAAAAAAAGATGATGAAGAAGAAGAAATGGACAACTTCATGTATATATATTTACCGAAAAAAAAAAAAAAATCTCCAGGTGTAACCTAAACAAGATTATGACATGCAACAACATGTTACAATTCAGATTCTCCAAAATATATATGTCCACCCCCCAAAAAAATTAAAGATTGTAAATTAAGTTAAATTGTGGAATCTTGGGATATATATATATATATATATATATATATATATATATATATATATATATATTGTATGTTGTCATCTTTGAAACGCAACCCTAATGGCCTCAATTCTATGACATATAGAGAGAGAGAGAGAATATATATATATATATATAAAAGAGGTAGTTTGAGGGTTAGGCTTCCCACACGTGGGTGTATGGATGGGTTGTATGATGGCATTAGAGTGGAGAAATAATATTGGATAGAGGCATACCTAACAAAATTAATGATTACGTTAGAGATATGGATAATTATGTGCAACGGATTGGATTAGCAAAGAGTCTGGGTCACATGTGAAACCTAAAAGGTCATGCAATTGTGACTTCCCTCTCTCTGTTACGAAACACCCATGTGTGCCTTTCTCATGCCTTATTTCCTGCCCTTAATTGTCTCTTCAACTTAATTTGTTTTTTTGGCGGGCATCACCATTAACAAATAAACTACAGTGATGCCACTCTTTTATTCATCACAATATATATGATTCATATTCAGAAATAAAATGTGTTTCAAATATATATATATATACCTAACTGCAGCGAAGGAGCCAATCCTCAAAGTCCATTTCCAGTTCTACAGTAAAAGGTGTAGTTGTTATGGTTTAAAAAAAAAAAAAAAGGAATTTATACATGTCCCTTTTTTAAAAAAAAATTATAAAGCACTAAACCCCTCTTTAGCATCAAAAAGTTACAAATTAAAATGCCGCCTCAATTTTTTGTGACAACAAACAATCTCAATTTATAAAAAGTTGTAA